TTGTTGTAGTTGTCATTGTTTATCAGGCCCAGGCCGGGTTCGAACCCGCCAGCCCTGGTGTATGTGGCTGGTGCTGTCACCACTGAGCTATAGGTGCCGAGCCTCTCTCAAAAATCTTTAAATAGTGTCTTTAACATATTAGTCAAGGAACAGATACGAATCAAGGTTTTTTTCTTGGTGCGTGTGTTTCTGTGTTCAAATTTCCATTACATCAGAAAGTAAAAGAACTCCTAGTTCTAGGAAGTAAAAAGCACAGGACAGGCGAGTCCTGTTCTAATACTGCATCTCTCTTAAAGCACATGAAGGTCTGTGGCTGACGTTCCAACTCAAAACGCTACCTACGCTGCTCAGAAATCAACAAAGTGAAGTGACACTACACTGTTTCTCCCAGGTGACCTGCATGTGAGGTGCCACAGGGAGTAATCAGAGGAGGAGGTGCAGTGTGCAATGTTCTATGTCTGTACAGTGCACTGGTCATCTATCTGACCCTAACAGGAGCCCCAAAACGTAGCCCGAGATGACTCCCACCCATTCACCCAGGAAGAACCCACAGCCTGGACGCAGCAGAGGCCTTGACCGTGAACCAGAAACACAGGTCACCTCCCTCCTGCTGTAGCCCTGCTCCTGCCAGACCACATCTGAGACATGAGCACATTATGGTATGTACCAAAGACTCGGTGTAACTCAAGCAGAACAAGCGTAAGATCCTTATTAACAAAGGGGCTTTATCAAAATAACAGAAAGCAACTAGCGAGGATCCCGCTGACAAAAACTGGGAAACTAGCCGTGTCGTGAACTCTTGACTCCTCTTAGGCCTAAAATCGCACAAGTCTCTACTCTTAAAGCTGTTTCCAACTTAATCAGGCTCATTACCTTCACTTTCCTAGTCACGTTAGTTAAATCCACATAGACAAGGGAAATGATGCTGTGTCCTAACAATTTTCAACTCCATGTTAGGGTAGTATGGGCCACTGCAGAGCTTACACTCTGAGCTCGACAAAGATAACTTTCGGGTGACTCCTCCTAATTTAAGTAGTGTCTCAGGGCTTATGATTATTCTAAAAACTGACTCTTACTCCCTAACCTGTCCCAGGATTTATAAATGTTGTTGTATACCAATGCTTGCCTTTTCTTTTGTTCTATATTCTGACTCTCTAGGTCTCTAAATGACCTACTCTCCCTTGTTTTCTTGATAATCCAATTTTTTTTTATTTTCTTAAGAGTATTAGAAACTTAAATTTCTTATCAAGTGGTCCTAAGAACTTTACTTTGTTTAAACATTTCCTCCTGTGAGTTAACAAACTGCTCACAAAAAGATATGCTTCCCATAAACGACAAAAGTTTTACTCTCCTGACTATATGAACCATTTAGTCTCTGCTTTTTTTTTTTAAAATTTGAGAAAGACTCTGTTGCTCTGGGGATAGAGTGCCATGGAGTCACAGCTCACAGCAACCTGAAAACTCTTAGGCTCAAGCAATCCTCTCATCTCAGCCTCCTGAGTACCTCAGACTACAGACACCCACAAAAACGCCCAGCTAGTTTTTCTATTTTTAGTAGAGACAGGGCCTTGCTCTTGCTCAGGCTGGAATCGAACTCCTGAGCTCAAAGGATGCGCCTGCCTCAACCTCCCAGAGTGAGAATCATTTAAAATCGCTCTTTAAGCGTTAATCTATTTAATTCCCCCATATAAATCATGTTAAATAACGGTCAGTTAGCTACTTAACTTGTTGAAAGCAGTATCAGAATATCATTTTTTATATTTAGTAGGTTGAATGAGATCACCCAGAGACTAAAAAAGGGAAACTGTGCCCACAAACCCAAGATTGTTCTGCATTCCAGCTTATTCAAATGAAAACAATTTGTTAACTGTTTTTTTTTTTTTTT